AGCTTTGATGAACAGATATGGAGGTCAGCAACTACGAGTGAGTATTGTGTAGACATTTATGGTATTGGAGTGAGTGAGTGAGTGAGTATGTTTTACACCGCTTTTAGCAATAATCCAGCACTATCACGGCGGGGGACACCAGAAATGGGCTTCACACATTGTACCCATGTTCGGAATCGAACCCGGGTCTTCGGCGTGACGAGCGAATGCTTTAACCACTAGGCTGCAATCATTTATGGTATTAGAGCGTCTGCTCATGCGTCCTTAACATTCTATCACACATAACCGGGCATCGATGATCAGGTCGTGTGAGGTGCTGAAATATGATTTCCAGTTCGTGCCTTGGTTGTGCCTGGATCTAATGCTCATAGGTTCGAATCCTAGCCTCGCCCTGATTATGATCCTGATACGAGTACCATACCCGTGGTCGTAGGTTTCACCCAACTGCTTGATTTTGCCAATGGTGGCAATGTCAATTGCTGCTATTGCCAAGGGTGACTATGTCTGACTTAGCCTATTAAGTGTCATCATGCCCCGGGATGTGGCCGGTTTCTTATGTGTTCAACAACACGTCCGATTGGACCGATTGGTCCAAGTATTGGACCTGAATTGTGGAATGTTAGCTTAGACACCTGATGTCATAACTGATTTTCAGTGGTCCATTCCATATTATTTCTACAGCTATTTGCCCTTTACGCCATGTGGAATCTGTTTCGGCTGGTTATTCTCTTGCATTGACAATTAATAATTATTTAATTTCATCATTAACGAAACACGTAAAGCGTTTTGAAAAGTAAACAGTATTGACGTGTTATTGTATTTAGCCCAATACGCATTATAACGTCATCAATCTACCCTAGCCAGTGGTATGTCGTTCACATATATATTCATCAAACTATGACATCACACAGAACATTTTCAGTTTTCAATAAATGTATAATTTGCTGCATTTGATAAGGCTGGAGATGGAGCCTTCTACTTACAACCTCGTCCTGTAGACCAGTACCACGTATATGATGAAGTGGTGGAATAACAACGCAAGGACCTGGCGCTATCCTTCAAGAATGGAGCATGAGAACTTAACAACAACCACGCCCACCACTCCCAACACGCCCAACGCGCCCAACACGCCCTCCACGCCCTCCACGCCCACCACGCCCTCCATGCCCACCACGCCCTCCACGCCCACCACTCCCATCACGCCCACCACCCCCTCCACGCCCTCCACGCCCTCCACGCCCTCCACGCCCACCATGCCCTCCACGCCCTCCACGCCCACCACGCCCACCACGCCCTCCACGCCCACCACGCCCACCACGCCCTCCATTCCCCCCACGCCCACAATACCCACCACTCTCACCACGTCCTACACGCCCTCAGAGCCCACCACTCCCACCACGCCCACCACGCCCACCATTCCCCCCACGCCCACCGCGCCCACCACTCCCACCACGCCCTCCACGCCCACCACGCCCACCTGTCCACAATCCCTCAAAATTGTATTGAATTAACAGCATACTGTTGACCAGTATATGTGTGTTGTACTTCAAGACCGGAGAATGACGACTGTATAACACCAACCGAAAATGGATTCTGCTTTAGATAAAGACTTCTCATGATTGCGGAAATATTTCTTGTCGCTCTCATTCAGGAGGTAGCTTAAAAAGGTACAAAACCTGCACCGAAACGTCACAATAAAATAATAAAGAAGTCGTAATCAACTCTGTCTTTCTTAAAAGCAATAGAACACCAACGAGAGAAAAGCTGTGCGAAGTTTTTGACAAAGATAAATGAGATGGTGACGTCCAGGGTTTGAATAGAAATATTATACTGTTACGTGTCGATACCCAAATTGAAATAATATGTTAATCCAAAAGTCTGTACATAAAAGAACTCAGTGTGAAACCAACAAACAACCAACAAGTGGTATACAAGGAAGGCCGGGGTTTTTTGGCTATAAAAAGAAATATATAGAAGTTGAACTAGGGCATACAAGCAGTCATCCTCGGTGCTCAAGTGTACTGTTATATGACAGTGTATTTTATTGTTTAACAATGATGTAACTATGTTGCATTTTTTCTGTTAATATTCGGTAGACGATCATTGCATTTTGTTTGAACAGTGATCAGTCGTCAGGAAGTTATTGTATTTTGATGCTAGTGTGGTGTGTAGACTTCCGGTGGAATGTCGAACCGCAAGTTTACAAACCACACCAGCATCAACACAGTTAATATATTAAAGACATCATAACAAAACAAAATGTGTCACAGTTCATAACCTTCATCGAATAATATAAAGAGAGATGTACTTGAGCAATGTGGGAATCCCATTGTCCCCTTTCGTGGTCTACTGGTAGAGCGTCTGGGGTTCGATCCCCTGCCACGTCATACCAAAAGATGGTATATTTTGTTACCCTGTCTGGCGCTCGGCATTAAGGGGCTAAAACAAGGACTGGTCGTCTGAGTGGGGTATTCATAAACTGCGGCATTGTAATCTCAGTGAGCTAGCATAATAAATCGGCATCAGTCCGGACTAGTACAAGCAGCCATACACACACATGTTCATGCACGTTACTATATAAGTGCAATACTCTTGTAAGCGACGTTAAACCCTATTTCACCTCACCTCACTGTGATATTGCTGGAAGAGTAATGTTTGGCCATAGTTTACTCACTCACACATGCAGTTGTTTCTATTGCTTATGAACGTAGAGATGCACTGTCTTTCCATGTGATAACGTATGTGATATTGTTATGGTATTTTTATGCCATGGAGTATTTATTATCCCAACACTTACACCATACATAGAAGAGTTACTACATCTACAAATTACTACATTCTGACAATGACATTCGGACCATTCGTGCTTGTCTCCAATTTCGGTCAGACGCCTCTCAAGTTACAATGAGTTGGTGGAGGCCCATTCGTCATGTAGAGTGACGTCCCTTGGTGATGCCGTGTTCTGCTGATTGTGGTGCCTAATATATAACTGACTCTTATTATTCATCTTATGTTATCAGGTGCCAGTACATGGGTATCTTTGCATCTCTTGGTGATAAACTATGATACAACCGAAATACTGTTAATAATTGCGTTAAGTCCAACTCACTCACTCACTCGACCAATCAATGTTCAACTGCTTGATTTGTTTACGTTTTTTAAATAGTTTACGACAATGTTACTCAAACACGGAAAAACTTTATTCCTCGCCGGCTGTTTTGATTTCCTGTAAAGTTGAAGCGGAGAAGCGAACATGACAGCAGCTGTGAAGTTTCACACTGAGTATTTTGTAAATGTAACTTTCCATGAAATAAGGCTGAATCAAGGGATTTATTTGGAATTTCTTCCGTGTTATGTAGTGTATAGAACATATATAGCTGATCCTTAGCATAGATAATATATTAGATTTGGCTTAGAAAAACAAAGTGAATGCTTGTTTTGGTATTAATTTAAATTACCCCAGTATGTTAAATTAGTACTTAAAATCATTACATTAAACTACTATTCACTGCATACACCTATGAACGAACGCGGAACTCATATCTCGTCACGGAGGGCCACATTCTGAATGTAACTATAGTGTGTCGGGGGTAGGAGTGAGGGGGTGGAGGGGGGGGGGGGGAGTTTGGGGTGGGGGTGGAAGTCGGAGTGGGGATGGGGAGTGGAGATAGGAGTGAAACTGGGAGTAGGGTTGAGGGTAAGGGTTGGGGTGGGAATTGGGGTGGGAGTTGGGGTGGGACTTGGGGTGGGAGACGGGAAAGGGGTGTTTGTTTTGGGGGGTGGGAATGGAGTGGGAATATTGTTGAGGGTTGAAGTTGGAGTGGGGGGTGGGGGTGGGGGTGGATGGGGTGGTGTCGGTTCAGGTCGGGTTCACCTTTTGGATTCATAACTTGAGAAGCTGTGTGTATGGGTTTCGGTGAAGTGTCTGTGGCTGTAGTGTTGGTTTGGGTGGGTGGTCGATGAAGTTAGTGTGAAGGGAGTGGGGTATGAGGGTGTGGGTGCGGGTTTGGGGTGTGCTTGTGGCATGCGAGATGCGGGGTATGAGTTTATGGTTCACGTTAATTGGGTTCAATAGTGACAGTTTGGTGGGAATCCGCCACTATTTTATCCGTTATGTAACAAATCGGGTGAAAGGGATTCACCCTGCCGAGGACAGTATTTCATTTATATCACGGCGTGTCACCTTCACGGGGAGGAGCCATCAGGGGTCATAATCGTTGTGCATCTGGGCTTAGACTTGGTATGAATCACGAAGGAAACAATAAATATTGATGTCATTGTATAATGAAATAAGACATTACCGGGTAGGACAGAACGGCGGTAATAACTGTCTGATATTTACACAGTGTGTTTTAGCGATTGCTGATTGGTTAGTGGAAGCAACATGTCGTCTCATTGGGCCATTGTTTTAAATACGATATGACGTCATTCATCATTACATTACGTCACCAGAACAATAGATTGAATTGAGTGAAATAGCTTTGGAGGGTTTACATTTCATATGATTGTTTTATGTTCCGTTTAATTTGTTTGTTTGTTTGTTGTTTAACGCCGCACTTAGCAATATTCCAGCTAATGACGGTGGTCTGTAAATTATCCAGTCTGGATCAGACAATCCAGTGATTGAGATCATGAGGATCGATCCACGCAATTGTGATACGATAAAATGCATCAACAAAGTCAGCGAGCCTGACCGACCGATCCCGTTAATCGCCTCTTACGACAAACATAGTCGCCTTTTACAGCAGGCATGGGTTGCTGAATACGTATTGTACCTCGGATCTTCACGGTTTAATGTTCGGGCATGCTATTATTAAAGTAAATGGCGAAAACATATGAAATGTCACTTGTATTGATATTATATGTATTGGTGTCAGACAATGAAAATGTGCGGAAACTGAACACGGAACAACGAAGTGACACTTCAGAAATTCATGATTCATGATTCAGAAATAGTTGAGCTGTTGCTCCCAATGCCCACTGTCATCGAGTTACACTTCCTGGTAGGACACTGGCTGTAGAAGGGTTGAGGGGGAAACATGTCTGTCACAAGGCTCTTGATACCCGCGTATATTCAACACTCTGCATTATACGCCATCTGGATATTCCTTTGGATGGACGGATCTGCAGCCGGTAAGGATGTATCATACATAACACAAATCATGATGTCAAAGCGTTGATAATTCCAGTGGGGTGTTTACATGTTGATTACTTGTGGCTGGGTCACTCAATTTACGTTGAGTATGAGACTGATCAGATCTTGGATTGTATGTGTGTGTAGGTTTTCGGGTTTATTCTAACGTGTGCGGGAAATGTCGATTGAAACCGGTTGCATACAAAATACACTCGACTTCACTATTACGTCATGAGATAGTAGCATGACTTCATTCACCAAACAGGCGGCTCTGCAATGTTTGTTCGTTTGTTTATTTGTTGTTTAACGCCGCACTCAGCAATTTTGGCAGAGATTACTTATGAATATGGAAAGGGTTTTGTCGCTTTTGTTTTATAACTTTCACAGGATTGGAAGGGAAACTCCATGTTAAAGGTCATTTTCTTTGTTAACTTATTATGCATTAAATTTACAAGCTTACTCTCGTGGTCTTGACCAGAGGTTTATTACTCACACTTAGGAAAGTGAAAGATAAAAAAAATTATGATAATTATGAAGGTTCAATTGTCAGTCAATTGTATATGATGACAGGTACTTTTGCCTTTGAGCATACGTTAGATTTACAGAGAAATGAAGGGTCAACTCTTTTCTGAGTCCGTGAGTGAGTGAGTGAAGGAGTGAGTGAAAGAGTGAAAGAGTGAGTGAGTGAAGGAGAGAGTGAGTGAAGGAGGGAGTGAGTGAAGGAGGGACGGAGGGTGGTAGGGCGTGTGTGAGTGAGTGAGTGAGTTAAAATTTTACGTCACATCGGCAATATTTCAGCCATATAGTTAGTGAGTGAGTGAGTGAGTGAGTGAGTGTTCTTTCATGCTGCTGCAAACAATATTCCAGAACATCACATAGTATCCATATGAGCATTCGAATCCGGGCTCTCCACTTGACGAGCTAACGCTTAACTACTAGGCTACATCGCCGCCACTCATATGCCATTCTCTGCATTTATTTGAAAGCTTTCGCTCAAAGCGAAACGGTTACAGGAAAGAAATCATTTAATCACATGGTCTAATAAATATCTCACTTCCTGTCGTTACTTTCTGTCTAGCGCTTTGTGTAAAATGTTATAATTAAAACATGGCCTGTCGAAATCATATCCCAATTCTTTCTCGTTTACCTTTGTTTAGTTTTGAATTGTTATCATTAATCTGTGATTATTTATTAATGATAAAATCAGCCTGGGTGTAACCAGAAGAATCATCGCAGTGAATGAGTATAGTTTTACGCCGCTTTTAGCAATATTCCAGCAATATCCTACCTTTCGGGGGACACCAGAAATCGGCTTCACACATTGTGCCAATGCAGGGAAACGAACCCGGGTCTTCAGCGTGACGAGCGAAACTGTGAACCACTAGGCTACCCCACCGCCTCAGAATCATTGCAGAGCTGCTTGTCGTAAGAGGCGACTAACGGGGTCGGGTGGTCAGGCTCGCTGACTAGGTTGATGCATGTCAACGTATCCCAATTGCGTGGATCGATGCTCATGATGTCAATGACTGGATTGTCTGGTCCAGACTTGATTATTTACAGACCGCCGTCATATAGGTTGAATATTGCTAAGTGCGGCGTTAAACAACAAATAATCAAACAAACAAACATTATTAACGATATTTGAAAGTTGTTATATTGTACATACAAAATAACATGTTTTTCAAAGACAGTGCGATGTCCTGCAAGCAATTCTCAAATCCTGATACGGAAACAACAGTTTTCAAGGACGATGGCTGTTTCTTATTGTCTCGAGAGGAGAGTACGAGGGAAGAGTCGCAAACCTTCTGCAATGGCCTGGGTGATGGATGGTCTCTTGTTGTGATAGAAGACGTGGAAACACAGAAGCATGTTGACAGTGTCACACGTACAGCTGGTGTCTCTACAGGGTCATGGATAGGTCTTCGTCGGCGAAATGGGAAATACACATGGGAATCAGGTATGCAAAGAAAGAATAGTTATTTAATATTTGCACTAAAATCATAAGGAAAATGAACACATGTACAAGCACTATTCATTTTGAATTACTTTTGGTTAAATATTTGGATGTACTGGCATACTTATCAGTCACTCAATCAATATTAAAACGATTTATTGGTAATAGTTGTCAATATTGAGGTTGGATAAGTATGATTCATTTCTAACATTCAACGGCAACCAACGACTTTCTTCAGGGAACAAACTAGGGTATCCAGATTTCTTCAATGCACAAGCAGGAGAGACAGCGTCACCAGGAGACTGTGTTACAACAAACCCTCCAGATGACACATCCTCCTATGGAATATGGCGCTATATGAACTGCACTGCAAGACTATACAGCATATGCCACTCAGGTAGGAACTGCAAGAATTAACATCATATCAGCTCGGCATTACTTCCTAGATTCTTAATGTAAATAAATAGGTAAAATCTACTCGTGTATGAATATCCTCTCATCGTAACACCAGTTATGTCTTTCATTATGTCACAGAATGAATCAGCACATATATACTATTGGGAATATCAGATAATTAATAGGATTTATTTTCATATACATTTCATTACTCGTTCAATAATTGCTACTTTACATGTATTGTTGGCCTCTACTCCAATGGTCATGACTTCCTGGATCATCAGGTGCATCATAACGTAACACGATCCTACCTCCACCGAACTGAGTGCATTTACATGTAGAACGAAGCCAGATAACAGTATTACCGTGTCATGCATGTTTCCAAGACACAGACTATCGATACATCAACCATTTCTTTAGTCCTGACACCAGGTTCCTCCCTACCTCCAAGAAAAACGACGACATCTCGACGTACAACGTCATCTACAGTGACACAAAATGCAACTCTAGCTAAACCACCAACGTCTGTCAAACATGGAGCAACACAATCCACAGCAGCAACAACACAATCCACAGCAAGAACAACGCAATCCACAGCAAGAACAACGCAATCCACAGCAACAACAACGCAATCCACAGCAGCAACAACACAATCCACAGCAACAACAACGCAATCCACAGCAACAACAACGCAATCCACAGCAATAACAACACAATCCACAGCAGCAACAACACGATCCACAACAACAACAACAACGCAATCCACAGTAACAACAACGCAATCCACAGCAACAGCAATGCAATCTACAGAAGCAGCAACCACACAATCCACAGCAGCAACGACAACATCTTCAACGACAGGCAAGGATCCTTTTCTGTTTTCTAAAACATAATTAAGGAGTGAACTGCCTTTAGGATATCAGCTTCATTTATTATTTTAATGGGTCTAATCTGTACGGGTACTAGTGCCATTATCTGGCAAGTGCTTGACAAAGATTCCAGTCACATGTCGTCACTGACAGCACAGCTTCTAATGTGTTTATACTCCAGTTGGGAGGTGCGAAGTGATGAGAGGGTGTCAATGTTATTACGAAGTAGGGATTCTTCACTGATTATTGCTAAAAGACCTATAGGCATAAAACTAGACTCACTGACCTAGTCACTGACCAGACAATACTCAATGTCTGCCATTATTGATAGAACCATAGACGATTGATATCTTACTTCATCCTCCTGTTGACTTCAGACCTATACCTGTACCCTGACCTGCTTCCTATAATTATCTGTTGCATTAATATATAAGTAAATACCTACACTCGTGACAATCCTATTCTTGTTCCTTTCTTCCCGCTGTGATATTGCTGGAATGACCAAAAGCGGCGTATAGCCGTCACTTCCTCTTTAAAATAAGGGAATCCAGTTATGGTAGCCCTTAAGGAAAGTAACAGACTCTTCGTTTGATTTTACTTCAAACACAAAATCAACAAAATTATGACACACAATAAATGCAAGTGTTTGTGACGGGTACATTCTGTGGGGCAGGATAAGCTCGCCTTTTCGCGAACACCTGGTGTCATCATTTTGTCGTAGTGATTCCTATACACATGCTTATCATATCGTACGAATCGTATAGTGATTTCCTGTGATTGTTAAAAAGGTTTTGTCGATTTTGTTTACAACTACGAATGTGCATTATTCTACAGATTTCGTTTGTGTTTCAGTCCTTATTGCTGTCTCATCTACAGCAGCATTTGTAGCTGCTGTGTTCTTAGTTGGGGGTGTAATTGCTCTCTGTCGAAGGTAATACCTACTTAAGTGTTGTAATTGATCTCTGTCAAAGGTAATACCTACTTAAGTGCTGTAATTGTTCTCTGTCGAGAGTAATACCAACTAAGGTGTTGTAATTGTTTGAGAAGGTAATACCTACTTAAGTGTTGTAATTGTTCTCTGTCGAGGGCAATACCTACTTAAGTGTTGTAATTGTTTTCTGTCGACGATAATACCTACTTAGGTGTTGTAATTGCTCTCTGTCAAAGATAATACCTATTTAGGTACTGTAATTGTTCTCTGTCAAAGGTAATACCTACATAAGTGTTGTAATTGTTTGAGAAGGTTATACCTACTTAAGTGTTGTAATTGGTCTCTGTCGAGGGTAATACCTACTTAAGTGCTGTAATTGTTCTCTGTCGAGAGTAATACCAACTAAGGTGTTGTAATTGTTTGAGAAGGTAATACCTACTTAAGTGTTGTAATTGTTCTCTGTCGAGGGCAATACCTACTTAAGTGTTGTAATTGTTTTCTGTCGACGATAATACCTACTTAGGTGTTGTAATTGCTCTCTGTCAAAGATAATACCTATTTAGGTACTGTAATTGTTCTCTGTCAAAGGTAATACCTACATAAGTGTTGTAATTGTTTGAGAAGGTTATACCTACTTAAGTGTTGTAATTGATCTCTGTCAAAGGTAATACCTACTTAAGTGCTGTAATTGTTCTCTGTCGAGAGTAATACCAACTAAGGTGTTGTAATTGTTTGAGAAGGTAATACCTACTTAAGTGTTGTAATTGTTCTCTGTCGAGGGCAATACCTACTTAAGTGTTGTAATTGTTTTCTGTCGACGATAATACCTACTTAGGTGTTGTAATTGCTCTCTGTCAAAGATAATACCTATTTAGGTACTGTAATTGTTCTCTGTCAAAGGTAATACCTACATAAGTGTTGTAATTGTTTGAGAAGGTTATACCTACTTAAGTGTTGTAATTGGTCTCTGTCGAGGGTAATACCTACTTAAGTGTTGTAATTGTTTTCTGTCGACGATAATACCTTCTTAAGTGTTGTAATTGTTCTCTGTCGAATGTAATACCTACTTAAGTGTTGTTATTGTTTTCTGTCGACGATAATACCTTGTTAAGTGTTGTAATTGTTCTCTGTCGAATGTAATACCTACTTAAGTGTTGTAATTGTTCTCTGTCGAATGTAATACCTACTTAAGTGTTGTAATTGTTCTCTGTCGAATGTAATACCTACTTAAGTGTTGTTATTGTTCTCTGTCGAATGTAATACCTACTTAGGTGTTGTAATTGTTCTCTGTCGAATGTAATACCTACTTAGGTGTTGTAATTGTTCCCTGTCGAATGTAATACCTACTTAGGTGTTGTAATTGTTCTCTGTCGAGAGTAATACCTTCAAACGTTTTGAAATTGTTCTCTGTCGAAGGTAATACCTACTTAAGTGTTGTTATTGGTTGTAAGGGTAATACCTACTTAGGTGTTGTTATATTGTTCTGTGTCGAGGATTATTATTATTATTATTATCATCTTTATTCCTCCATAGGAGAGTTACATGCAATTCATTACGGTTATACAGATATTAACAAGAGAAATAACAAGATTAGGTTAAGGGTCAGGATATAGTGTCAAACACAGTTGGTGTATGTTCTGGATCACAGTTCTTGCAAACAGCTCATTGTCTTCTTCACTCGCTTGTACAGGAGGTGTGCATGACAACAGACTGCACACTAGGTCAACGTCACACATGGAGTGTAAGGTAACACTCAATTCAACTGGACAACAGTTGACAATTTCATACCACATACGATCCCTGATGAATTCTGATGCTCTGCAGTGGCATATCATATGGACCAGAAGATCATTATAACCTTTGTCACAACGTTCGCAGTGACCATGTACTTTGCCTGGCCGCCAGAGCTTTCCATGCTTTTAATTTCTGTTATTGCTCGTGTAGGTAATATCTATTTAAGAGGCCGGCGGGAGGTTCCCTGGTGAGAGTATAGGGACCTCTTAAATAGATATTACCTTCACAAACAATTACAAAACGTAAGTAGGTATTATCTTCACGAACAATTACAACACTTAAATTGTATTTGTGAGTGCTTAACTATATGTTGCACTGAGTTTGTTAAACTAACGGGAGCGATAAGTACACGAGAATGTCATGAACCTTTACTCCCAACTTGTTTCAGAAACAAACAGAAAAGACTGCGTGTCAGGACCAATGACACGATGGCAGGTGACGACACTGAATCATGTACAGTAGCTGATGTAAGGACAAAACCGGAGGTTGAGTACGCTGTTGTCACGAAAATACAGCCGAAACAACCATCACAAGTGCATGACTGTAACACTGAGTCAGGCTACCATTACGCATCCGTGGATGATGGCGCTCTTCCCATGAAGCAAGGCGTCAATGACCAAACATATGACACAGCAACAATCACAGAGAAGAAACAACCAATCACCTTTGACAACACATATGCTCGCGCGATATTCAACCAATCAGCATCGGACACAGTGGATGACGTGTATGATCACACGCGTGTGACCGGGAAGGCGTCACAAGAAGTTGATGCAAGCCATTACGACCATGCTTTCGTCAAATAACAATCTCGCAATATTGGATGTTAGGTTAAAACTTAACATGTACATATTTGCAAATCAATACTTTTGTATCCGAGGTGCTATGTTTTTCTTAAACATGGTAAAGTTTCTATTTTATAGCATTCTGCATATTTGTATTTCGTGTCCCGGTAATCACCCCAAGCGATGGAAAACCAGAACCTCATAATTACCATGACAACCGATCTGGATCGGGTGGTTATATGTATAACCTGGTAAATGTGTGTTGCATTGGTCTCTGGCTCAGACTTGACTATTTACAGATGGTTGTGATATGGCTTTCACACAACATTCACCAACCATTTCTGACAATAACACTCACTGCGGCATACCAGAGAACCACGGACACAAGGTTACAACAATCAAGATTTGACACAAACTTTGACGCATCAGTGATAAACATGACGTCCGATGCAATTCCTTATTTTATATTGTACTGTATATAGCTGTGTTTTTTCAGGTGAACAATTTACTTGCCTGTGCATGTGTTTGTGACGGGTTCAACCGGTGGGGCAGGATACGCTCACCTTTACGCGAACACCTGGTATCATCACTACATAACTGAATATTCTCAGTGTTCATTGTAATTCATGCATTCTGATTAGCTGAACTGGTGAGGTGTTATTGCATTCATGTCCCAAATTAAGCAACGCCCATCGAAGCGGACTACTTTTATTACTACGGATTTACTGGGAATTCCCTTTCCGTTTACGTGAATTTGTTCCGGTTCCTTACAGTCTAACTGTTGCAGTTCTTCTCGTCTCTTGCTTACTTACTTAAATTGGGAGATTAACGTGCGCTTTATGCGTATTTTGCGCATGTCGCCTCTTGCCTTGATTGACAGGTCCTATAAACTTTGTTTTCATCCTAGTCTCCGTTGATTGGCTACTGACGTTGTGGGTGTGTCAAGTTATGTATATAAATTAAACAATCACCTGATTCATGTCACGCCACAGTATGTATTCCTACACTTGGAAAGTTTATAAATGTCGTTATTTTTGTCTGCTTTGATATATACAACTGTTTTTGGTTAAACTATGTTTTCGTTGTCAAATTTAATTGTAAGGACTGACTGTGTATGATTTTCGGTTCATTGAGGTATAAATCGAAAAGCCGAGTTTCCTCAGACAACCGAAAAACATACGCAGTCAATCCTTCACTAGCAGTGATTCATAAACACATGATCATATTACAATCGGAATCGTACAATCGACTAAATGAATAATGAAAGGGTTTTGTCGCTTGAATTAACACTACCACCTCACCGTATCTGTTCACGTGAGGAACATGGAGCTGCCCCGATGGTTCTGGGTCCGAACTTCTTCCAGTAAAATGCTCAGGTTGTTGACTCTGGCCATGCACGATACAGGAGCTGGTGTCTGGAGCGAGCTGTGACAGCAGTGGAGCAAGATTATGCCATTTCTTGCGGCAAGTACCTTGATGTCAATAGACATCACTTTAGGCCCCTGTAGACTTTTATCACCAGTGTATGCAAGTGTATGCAAGTGAGTAAGATTAAATGCTCCCCAAAGTCACCCAGCACTAGATGGGTACCCGGTAGAATAATATATGCATAATATGATAATCACCCCTGTAACTAAAGTGTTGTCATGTTCTGTTATGTTATTATAGGGATTTGTTCTAGGATTAGAACTCAATATTTTGTCCCGACAGTTACAAACAAGTAAAGACTTAGTAAGGATGATACTTATGGATGAACAACTTCTTTATTACAATTGTTTATCCATAGGTCTTATCCTTACTCAGTACTCCAACTTCTAAATGCCTCTCATAGAAGTAACGACTTGCCCTGATGACATGACCAGGTATAAGGACATGGTTCAAGCATAATGCCATACTACTATATTGTGAAAGATCAAAGACAGAAACTGTCAAAAGGCAGCCACGATTAAGTGTCTTTATATGTACCCAACTAATTTCAGTCACTTAATAATTAATTGTCATGCCTTCAATCAGAGAAGCAGCGGCAACGCTGTACACATTTAAAACATGCGATACCCACGCCGGACGATTGACGGTCACGTGATCTTCAGTCACGTATTAAACTGGTTCTACTGTTGGTTTGCGCAGATAGCTCAGCGCGTTTAGCCAACATGAGGCCTGCAAATGGGTTAGAAATCTGTAACAAGGTCGGTTGTATGGGGTCCTTAAATACAAACGTATGTCTACACCTCGAAAGGTTGTTATAGCGCGATAAAAGCCTCTGTTGACTTGCATTCGACACTGATGACCAGTAAATGCTGTGCCATGTGTCGTCCCATCGCAACCTACACATGGTGAGATTAAATATTTGTTCAGCTTAGTTGCAAAACCAGATATATTTATTTAAATTAAATTTCAGCCTGAATTTATTGTATTAAAAACACCCTGCAACAATGTTATTTTTGTGCAAAAACAGTATGTTTGTTTTTAACAGCCTGCAAACATAATTATTTTTTCCCAGGCCAACTTTATCGTTAACATGTTGAAGTTTTACATGTTTAGATTGTTGATGATGTGTTCAGGTGGTTTTCAGTTCATGTGTTTATACTTTAAACATGTTCAGATAGAACACACCAAATGTGTATTCATTGTAGAATTGAAACACTTTCCTAAACATGTTTTCATTCTAAACAAATATATTAGAAATCTGCCAGAAAGGGGCTCCACACATTGTACCCATGTGGGGAATTGAACCCGAGTCTTCGGCGTGACGAGCAAATCGTTTAGCTAGACAGAACCCATTGATCGAATGTTGTACATGTTGACGAATGTTCGCATTTTTTACTTCGGTTATTATTTTATGATGTCCTGATAATCCAGTGATATGAATGAAATGCATACAGATGCATAAATGAATATATTATACCAACTTCTATTTATATTTCTTATTCAATTAAAGTTATTATCTCACAAGCACGATGTGGTACGTTTGCTTTCTGTTGTCTGATAGGTTTGTCAAACGGCAATAAGGTCTAGTCGGATGTGTCGACTTTTTCTGTCCCCCAGGAGTTAGACAGTACACTGAAACTCCGTTGTTCAGGAAACCCCGTACGATTATAAATAATTACAATGAACATTACATCATACATGGAAGCCTCTCAAAACGAGTTTCGTTAACTTTAGACTACATTCAGTTCAGTATTTTATTGTCTCCTGGCTTATTGTATCAAATTAAGTTCAAATTATAAATAAAAAACGAACTGCTTTTTTCTCAATTTTTTTTATGTCATACACGTTAAATTTTCTTAATTCTCTTTGTTATTGTTTTCATATTATACTTTATAGTCTTTCTCAAACAGGTTTCCTAACAGGTGATCGTTACATTCTGTATAATTTCTTAACTGCATTTTGTCAGTTGAATAATTAAGGATTTTCAAAAGGTATTGTATTGCATGATTCCCTTGAAATATTGCATAAATTTTGACATTTCATGACATCGTGTTGGTCTATGTTCTAATATTCAGTTGTTAAATCTATTTTCGGAGCGACATTGCATTGAAGTTCAAGATGTGTCTGTATGCTTCTGACATAATGTTGTTTGAAAGAACAAATAAGTAACTGATATTATTTTATCTCAAAACTACATAATAAATGTATTTTCGAAGTTATCATTAAAGTCTTCAGACATACATGCATGCCTATGTATAAGACAGTAAATTTCAAAATGTAAAATTCTGGTAATCTTTATAAACAGTTATCCTGCAGAATGGGTGACACTGGGACGCTGGAACTGGGCTTCAGACATTGTACCCGTGTGGGGACTCGACTGGGGCAGTCGGCGTGACGAGCAAACTCTTTAACTACTGAGCTACCTCACAACCCTTTATCATTTAGAAAATGGTTACAAACACACGTTCATTCTTGTGTATAATTATGATCGAAATTAACTTGTGAAGTTATATTTCACAGCACAATCAGAACACAAACACATCGATGTCCCGAATCACGGTTCTCTTATACTGAACAAACACAGAGTTTACAGAATGATGACATACACGTCATATTATATTACATGGGGTGTTTTTAGTTTTACAGTTAAAAGACTTCTTTTTTTATACATTATCATACAAAAATCATATTACTGCCTTAAGCTTTAAGCAATCAGTACTTTCCAATATATATGTTAAACATTATGTTAGAAAACAAGTGATGTTGTATGTCTCGTCACAAACATGTTACAAATGAATGAAAACCTTCTGTTATGCATGTACAATTTTGGAAATATAACATTTTGTTGTAGCAGTTTAAACTTGACTTTTGACCTTTTTACATATTTATTTATTTATTTATTTATTTATTTATTTATTTATTTATTTATTTATTTATTTATTTATTTATTTATTTATTTATTTATTTATTTATTTATTTATTTATTTATTTATTTATTTATTTATGTTGTTTAAGACCGCACTCAACAATATTACGGTTATATATCTGGACCAGACAATGCAGTGATTGACATCATGAGCATAGATCCACGTAATTGGGATACGAACACAACAGTCAACTCCACTTCATATAAGGGGAGGTTTAAACACCTGAATCAAGTGATGTGAGTGGCTTTTAGCAATATTCCAGCAATATCATGGCGCGGGACACCAGAAATTGACTACACACATTGTACCCATGTGGGGACTCGAATCCGGGTCTTCAGGTTTTTGAGCGGACGCCTTAATCACGAGACTTCCCCACAGCCCCCTTTAACAAATAAACTTCCCCACAGCCCCCTTTAACAAATAAACTTCCCCACAGCCCCCTTTAACAAATAGACTTCTCCACAGCCCCCTGTAACAAATAGACTTCCCCACAGCCCCCTGTAACAAATAGACTTCCCCACAGCCCCCTGTAACAAATAGACTTCCCCACAGCCCCCTTTAACAAATAGACTTCCCCACAGCCCCCTGTAACAAATAGACTTCCCCACCGACCCCATTAACCACAAGACATTCCCACCGACCCCTTTAACCATTTGACTTCCCTAACCAATCCCTTTAACAAATAGACTACGCCACCACCCCCTTTACCAAATAGACGTCCCCACCGCCCCCTTTAACAAATAGACTTCCCCACCGCCCCCTTACACCACTAGACTTCCCCACCAACCCCTTTAACAAATAGACTACGCCACCACCCCCTTTAACAAAAAGACGTCCCCACAGCCCCCTTTAACAAATAGACTTCCCCAGCGCCCCCTCTAACCACAAACTACCCCACCGGCCCATTTAACCAATAGACCTCCCAACCGCCCACTTTAACCAATAGACTTCCCCACCGCCCCCTTTAACAAATAGACTCTCCCACCGCCCCCTTTAAAAAATAGACTTCCCCACCGCCCCCTTTAACAAATAGACTTCCCCACCGCCCACTTTAACCAATAGACTTCCCCACCGCCCCCTTTAATCACTAGACTTCCCCACCGCCCCCTTTAACAAATAGACTTCCCCCACAGCCCCTTTTAACAAATAGACTTCCGAACCGCCCCCTTTAACAAATAGACTTCCCCATCGCCCCCTTTAACCACTAGACTTCCCACCCGCCCTTTTAACCACAAGACTTCCCCACCGCCCCCTTTAACCATCACACTTCCCCACCGTCCCCTTTAACCACTAGACTACCCCATCGCCCCATTTAACCACCAGACTTCCCCACCGCCCCATTTAACCACAAGACTTCCCTACCGCCCCCTTTAACCACTAGACTTGCCAACCGCCCCCTTTAACAAATAGACTTCCCCACCGCTCCCTTTAACCACTAGACATACCCACCGCCCCCTTTAGCCATTAAACTTCCCCACCGCCCCCTTTAACCACCAGACTTCCCCACCGCCCCCTTTAACCATTAAACTTCCCCACTAAGGCGTGTTGGTGTGATGTTGAAAGAAAACACTTGACTGTTATGTTGAAAGAAAACACTTAACTGTTATGTAAAACAAAAGTAGCCTTGGACTTATTTAACATTCTTGTTGAAGGTATCACTGCATAAAGTATAAGAACACATGGCCATTTGAAGCTCTTTTAATGAATCTCAAGTGTACAATTTTATAAATGTACTTCAAAACATCCACGTCGATGGCCCTGTTTAAGGCGATTTAGAATGTGTCCTTGGGGAGCCCCGGGAACCACCCACAGATGAGCCTTGGGCAGTATCTCGAGACTGAACTGATGCCAGTTTGACAGGTGCGGTTAAGGTCATCACAGCAGCTTTCTTCTGGAGCTGGTCAATGGAGCCGATGAAGGACTTGGCCTGTCTGCACATTGATTTAATCATCCCAGCAAAGAACAGCTTCCTGTAACTGAACGGGGCTATCCCTCTTATCTCCGTCATGAAGCTGCGGATGTTGCCTGACTCCCACTCCTTCAAGCCAGGAGTGTTGTTAAATACCTTCATTGGGTCGTCATAGAACGGTTGTATCGGGTACCCGAGCACACTAGAAAGGAATCATGATTTTAACTGAGATGCAGATTTATATTATTGTGATTTGCAGTAAAATGTGTCAAATGCGAAATCTATTAAGTCGGTATGACATTTTTGACGGCGCTATGGCTTTTAACTTCTTTGCTTGTTTCCAATTGCCGATAACTCGATGTTTGTTTTGATATATTTAGGTTTATATCTTTAACTGCCCATTTCCAATGACCAATAATATATTTGACAGAGTAATTATTCATATACTCCATCAGCGTCAATAGCGCCAGGTTGCATAGACTGTTCCTCTCTCACTTGTGAATACATGAGGCCAATACTTTTAACCCACAAATCAAGCAAAGGCGTGGTTCCAGTGACAGGGACGCCAGCGATTGTTTAGATCAAAGAGCGCGCAGGTTACGTCGCACGAATGGCAATGGTTCTGGCAACATGTAGCTGCCTGATCTAGATATTGCCTTCCTGTGCGACAATGGGAGGTTTCGTACAAACTTCATGCACCGTGTCAGTGACATAACTCTGCACAGCGATTTGTGGCGCCGCTCGCATCTCGCATACAATAGAGGATAGTGTTACCTTTGCATCTTGCCATTGATTCTGGAGCAGTTGCAGAGTTTCAGAAACTGTTTGGTGATCCAGAAGGGGCAGCTTGTGTAGGAAGTGTTAATTCGTGTTCCTTTTGGATTGTTCTCTTCATCGTCAACAGTATTCTCCTCCTCGTCCTCGTCCTCGTCCTCGTCCTCGTCCTCACCCTCGTCGTCTTCATCGTCGTCTTCATCGTCATCGTCATCGTCATCGTCGTCATGCGTGTCCAGTTTATCCTTCTTGGCGCCCATCATGTCATGGAACTTTTTGTGAATGTCCATCATGTGTTGAAACCAAATCACCTTGGCCATTGGACCAAACATAGGCCGATGCATCCATCTTGGACCACCATAGTGCTCAAATGGTCTGAACATCCCCATCGATCCCTGTGACATTCCCTGGATAGTATGGACAAGGTTGACCTGACCAGACAATTTCAAGTTGATCTCGGGAGCCTTGTGGACGCCATTTTCGGATATCCCATGAACCAAGGACATTAACCAAGGTGATCTAGATAAAGGCCCGCCTCGCGGAATGGGATATTTCCGCCTGTTATCATACTGGTCCCTTCTAGGGTGCCAGTAGGTTCGCTGATCTCTCATGGAAGGTTCGCCTTGGCGGTCGTCATAGTCATTACCAGTCCTGGAAGGTTAAGAAATATGAACGTAATCATTAATAATGAAACTTACCTGATCTACTCATATCATACGACTAGTTTGTTGTTTAACGCCGAACTTAAACATATTCTTCTTTGTGATGACGGCCTGTAAATAATCGGAAGTGGACAAGACAAACCAATAATTGATTGTATGAGCCACGTCACCGAGTCTGATTGTCCGATCCTTTAAGTTTTATTTATTTGTTTGTTGTTTAACGCTGCACTCGGCAATATTCAAGCTAATAATCTAGTCTGGACCAGACAGTCCAGTGATTGACATCATGAGCATCGATATACACAATTGGGATACGATGACATGCATCAACAACTAGCGAGCCTGACCACCCGATCCCGTTAGTCGCCATAGACATGTAGTAGACATGCATGGTCGATGCATTAAGTAGCTGCTTGGGACCAGTTCTAATGCGTCTTATCCCCTTGGAGTATAGTGATGACATATATAATATACAATCACTATTTGGATTACTAACATATGACAGTCATGTAAAAACTCTTAATAACTGGCATATTTTGTTACGATCATTTTTAATCATTATACCAAATTACATGTTTTCGCATGGCTCATAAAGCTTCGCATGGTTCATAAAGGGACAACTTTCTGTAATGATGATAGACATTGAATAATATTGTTAGCCTCATGTTGTAGCAGTGACTATACGACATTACTTCCTGTGGTGGGCTCCGTGATGTCTGCCGTGGTGGAAGTGCCCCGCTACCAGTGGGAGTAGAACCAGCACAAGCTGGAGATGCATCGTCCTTGTGTAGAGCTCTGAAATGATGATGTTATACTGATTGTGTTTGTTTGCTTGTTCCTTAACGCCGAAGTCACCAATACTGCAGCTGCACATCTTCCTGTGGCAAGGGCGTTAACTGATTGTAAAAGTCCAGTTTACACCCTTGCCGAACTAGGCTGAAATTTCCAGGCTCAATCGTAGCGCCACCAGTGGCTATTACGAGTTATGTCCCTTCTATGTTCCTTTTATTGACCAATCAAATTCTATCTCTCGTATATCACTTACATTTGCTGTCCGTGAAGATCCGGGATAGAATAGGTCTTCAGCAACCCATACTTGCCGAAACAGGCGACAATGCTTGTTGTAAAAGGCGACTGACGGGATCGGGTGGTCAGGCTTGCTGACTTATTTGATGCATGTCATCGTATCCCAATTGCGTGGATCGCGGCTCATGATGTCAATCACTGGATTGTCTGGTCCAGACCCGATTATTTACAGACCACCGTCATATAGCTGGAATATTGCTAACGTTAAACAAACAAACACACATTTCTATGAATACATGTTTACAGCATGTTTTGGGTTAGTGTTGATCCCCAGCAGCCCATGATAGGCAGAATAACCGCCTAAAGGGACATCTTGCTGGTACAATATTAATCAATTATTATTAATTAGTGACTGGTTAATTGCTAGATTGATATACATAACAATATTTAGATTTACACACAAACAACACCTTACTTATCCTTTTATGACGAGGGCGGTCGGGTAACCTAGTGGTTAAAGCGTTCGCTCGTCACGCTGAAGACCCGGGTTCGATTCCCGACATGGGTACAATGTGTGAAGCCCATTTCTGGTGTCCCCCGCCGTGATATTGCTGGAATATTGCTGGAATATTGCTGGAATATTGCTTAAAGCGGCGTAAAACCGATTATGTTTCTAGGTTTGTCAGCACCATACCCGTGCTCGTGGGTTTCACCGAAGAGGTAAACGTCTGAGACCTGTATCACCTCGGGCTTTCCTCCCACATTAAGCTGACACGTCGTGATATAACTGGAATACTGTTAAAAGCGGCGTTAAACCCAACTCACTCACTCACTCGTCTACTTACATTCACCGTGGTCCAAATCAGTAGCCACCAGTCTAGCAGTCAACCAAGAACTAAGCTGACTTATGCTGCCGTTTCTTGTTTTATGCCTAATATGAAATGACATTGTGTTGCTACAATCATTCGATACAGGAAATGGGTTCATGGCATGCTTGCTCCAATGTAACTTTGTATTGTGTACGACCTTGTCAGCGTGCTTCCCAGGCGTCAGTTGTATGGCACCATTGAATGGCATTAGCCATTATGTCCTGGTGACAAAGAGGGTCTGTGCATGCAAGGTATTCCTGCTCTGTCATGCACGAGACTTCTACTGAGTAATGTGTTTTTGTCTTGGGAAAATTATGCCATCAACGCAGATTCACCATATAAGAAGAATAGGGGTGTATGAATTTTTTTTCCAGCTATATGTTATTTTTTATAAATAAAACAAGAAAACAGTTATATAGAATACACTTTATTATTTAGTACCATTCTCCCGGATGCTCCCGACAGATGCTCCCCGACGTTGCCCGGACGCTATAGTACCGGACGTTTTACACTGAGTGAACCATCTGGGGCCACGCATGAACTTTTGAAAACGTCTGTCTTTCAGTATTACTTATGAAATAGTATACAGAATATGACACTTTAAAAGTACATTATTTTTGTTCTATAAGCAAATTTACATTGTATACTTCAAAGCCTACGTTACGACTACCTCGTCAGTTTGAATAAAATAAAATCGTATTTGCTTCGCAGATTCACCATTTAAAAAGAATAGAGGTTATGTATTTTTTTTCCAGCTCTATGTTATTTTTATAATTAATACAAGAACACATTTATATAGAATACATTTTATTATTTAGTATCATTCTCCCGGACGCTCCCTGGCATTGCCCGGACGATCCCGGACGTTTCCGGGCGTTATTTAGTAGGACCGTGTACGACGGAGCAGGAATACCTTGCATGCACAGAGCCTCTTTGCCAACACGACATAATGGCTAATGCCATTCAATGGTGCCATACAACTGACGCCTGAGAAACACTCTGACAAGGTCGTACACAACACAAAGTTACATTACAGAAAACATGCCATGAACTCATTCCCTGTATCGAATGATTATGGCAACACAATGTCATTTCATATTAGGCATAAAACAAGAAACAGCAGCATTCGCCAGCTTGTGAGTGTGGGGAAAATGTTATATTTTCATTCTGGCCAGGCCACACGTGAAAATATCTCCTCCCCTCGTCACTCGATGAGAGAAACATGACATTTCACTCGACACTTGAAATATCATCTATATATTTAGCCGTCAAATGGATTGGTGTCAGTCGTTACATACAATGTGAATCACTGGATTGTCTGGCTGGAATATTGTTCATTTAAGCGTTAAACATCAAACAAGCAAATATGTGTAACACACATGGCCACAGAAGGATAAGTACAGGCCGGGAGTTGTTTGTGAGTAAATCTAAATATTGTTATGTTTATCAATCTAGCAATTAACAAGTCACTTAATAACTCGGCTCACTCGAATACTGGCATTATATTTTTTCAATCGACAGAAAACTAAGCATACGCTTGGTTAATATTGTACAAGCAAGGTGTTACTTGTTATCAACTACATCACTTTCAGTGTAGAGGACACCAATCAACATTATCACCGATCCCAACTGTACGATCCATTAAGTTGGTTCTTCTGACGAACATGGTTGCTGGGGACCAACACTAACCCGGAACACGCAGTGAACATGTATTCATAGACATGTATCAAGACTGGGTAGTGTGATTATAACGAAATGTGATTAATATCTGATATTTACTTATTTAAACGTCACGGCTATGCTTGTCGTAAGTGGCGACTTACGGGATCGGTGGTCAGGCTCGCTGACTTGGTTAATGCATGTCATCGTATCCCAAAGTTATGCTCATGATGTCAATCATTGGATTGTCTGGTCCAGGCTCGATTATTTACAGACCGCCGTTATATAGTTGGAATATTGCTGAGTAGTAGTAGTAGTGGTTTATTTCAGTAAATCAGGCCACAGGCCCATTTTACGATATATATATTCAAGCATTCAAACATGTTGCGCCACCAGTGCATGTAGTAATATGAATACTAATCAGTACAAGGGTATCTGAGACCATATACATATGGTGGTAGAATTAGTAGTTTATATAATGGACAACTGCTTGCTCCTCATTTTAAGAGCAAAGAATGTAAACTTGGCAAGATTATTGATTGTGAAAGCATTACTGGTGGTAAATAAAACTTTACATTTATGCTCTGATGGAGATGTATAATAATAACTTGGCAGAAAGTTTCTTCTAAGATCGTCATAAAACAAACTAAACAAACATGGTATTCTGTTTCTACATTTGGAATGATACAAAATGGACAAAGTCTTTCACATTTTGGAATACCTAACTTTCTACCCTGTGATACCATAAGATCACTGCTCGACGTGCGAAACTGTGAGAGAGTAATCCCCAATGCAGCAATATTCACAACACTTCAATAATTTTCATATTCATTTGATAGCTTATTTGTTTTATACAAATATAATGAAGATAATTTGTCTAAAGATTCAAAGAGACACTGGTTATCAATATTAATACATCTTGTTCTAAAAGCGGATATAAATGAATGAATACAAGAAACTGATTGTCTATTCCAAATTTCACCATATCCAAAGGGAAAATAACAGATTTTAACTTTCAGTGACCAGCAATCTAGACCCTTTTCTGCCCCGTCATACTGGTACACATACGTGTGATATAATATACTGTTTTCGTTCTGAGTTAATAAACGCAGCCAGTACTTAATGATTTTCAGATGTTGGTTTACTTTTAACGAGTATCTCCCAAGTTCAGCTCTTGCTACAATATTAGGAACAGTTCTTCTCAGTTTCAAAATAAGCTTGCAGAATTTATCATGAACATTTAAAATATCTTTAGAGGGATGAAATCCACTTATCTCTGAGCCATATATTAATATGGGCAGTACTTTAACATCACAAATACGAAGTAACATTTTCAGGGGAAGTTTGTGAAAATTGTACATATGTGATTGTAACAATAATATTACCTTCCAAGCTTGTTGGGATCATATCTTTTGAGTTTTATACCAGGAACCCGAGCTAGAAAAATGTACTCCAAGATATTTATAACTGGGGACTATCTCAAGAGGGCTGCCATTAAGAAAAAACTTTTCATAGCTTTTAAGCCTACCTGCCTTACGAAAAATAATGATTTTACTCTTGGTAGAATTAACTCTTAAATGCCACTTTTTGCAATAATCCACCAACTTATCTAAACGTTTTTGTAACCCGAGAACAGTGCTATCAAATAGGATAATGGCATCTGCAAATAAGAGTATAAAGAGATCCAGCAAGTCTAAATTAACACAGTATTGCTTATCCACACTCAAAAACTGTACTATATCATTTACAAAAAATGAAAATAGGAAAGGTGACAACTGGCAACCTTATCGTACACCAAAAGGACAGTCAAAGAAGGGAGTACATCTATTGTTAACCCAAACACATGACTTCACATTTTGATACATATTATTCAAAAGTCTAAACATTTTCCCCTTTACATTACCAATCCACAATTTATAAAATAAAGATGGTCTATGAACAGAGTCGAAGGCTGCTTTCAAATCTATGAAAGCACAATAAAGTCTACCTTTATATAATGATAAGTATTTCTGTATGATAGTATCAATTACAAAAACATTATCTACCGTTTGAAAACCTTTTCTAAACCCTGACTGTTCAGGAATAATTAAATTTTGATTTTCAGCCCATTTTGAAAGTCTAGTGCACAGAATTTTAGAAAAGATTTTACCCGAGACTTCGAGTAAAGTGATTGGTCTGAAGTTTCCTGGATTATTACACGGTCCTTTTTGGAATAGGAATAATGACACCAACTGTCCACTGAGTAGGATAAACACCAGTTGACAAAATCATATTATACAGTTCTTTCAGCATATCTAGACACTGCACGGGAGCATTCTTAAAAAGTTCTATTGGGAAGCCACTGTACCCCGGGGCTTTCCCACAGTGCATACTGGAGATTGCATCCTGTATATCAGACATAGTAATGTCATAGTCAAGTTCATTATCAATATCAGTAGTTGCATCAATGAGATTGTCAGTTATACCTGAAATGAAATCATTTACATGAACATAAAAATCAAGTGAGTTTGGATCATGGTTTGTTCCACTAAACAGTTCTTTAAAATGTTCAATCCACGCAAGTGGTGTAATGTTTATTAATTGTGATTTTGTTTTTGGTCTCAATAGCGACCAAAAAAGTTTCACATTATTAGATTGGAGTGATTGTTCCAGTTTGTTTACCAACACATGTGTCGAGACAGCTGACTTGCGCGAGCAGAGTTCCTTGTAGTGTTTACGTGCAGAAATGTAGGTCAGCCGGTCGCATGCCTCGTTGCTTGCATGGAATGCACGCAGCAATTGACGAGCTGTCAATCTTGCCAGCAAACATTCCTCATCGAACCAGTCACAATGTGTTTGTTCAGTTCTAGCTCCGTTACACGGTTTTCTAAATTTAACACAGCAATTTTCAAGAGTGTTCTGAAAACAGTTGAAAGCATTATCTACATCATTGTTAATGATTTGATTGTTGAAATTCTTCTTAGTAGAATCCTTGAGATTATTCTATGAATTTACGTATTCACTGTAAAAACGATCAGACCAAACATACCTCTGACGCTCAGTGACATTTTCACGGTAACTGTCAGGCATACTGTTTAAAGCTAATGAATAGATTATAGGTAAATGAGTACATTCAACTTCATCTGACACATCAAACTTTGTAATAAGCTGAAAAAGATTTGGGTTACACAACACATAATCGACAACACTCTGGCCTTCATTGGCAAAACAAGTTATTTTACCAACACTGCTATCTGAGCACAATCGACCATTACAAATCCGGAGTCCTGTTGAATGACAGAAGTTTAACAATGAGAGTCCATGTTTATTGACAACACTGTCTTGAGATCTGCGTGGTAGGTTATCGTCTTGAATATAATCCATTTCATAATCGATGGGCAGGGAGGTAATATCATCGTTTTCAATAAAATCTGGGCGTGTACCATCATCGGTGCGAGCATTGAAATCACCATGAATAACTATCTCACAGTTTGGAAAGTCTGATTTTAAGCTCAAAATATCGCTTTCCAAAATATCAAATAAATCCTCCCCGGAGTGTAGACTAGACCCATCCGGAGAGGAATACACAGTGCAGATAAATAAAAGCGTTTGTCCTCCGTCATACTTTATCCACAGAGTGTTGCTTGATGTTGATTTAAGTCGAGTGACTTGCGTCGAGATACTGTCTTTAGCAAGAGTGAGTATACCTCCCGAGCTTCGTATTGCCCCTTCGGTTTTGTTTCTCAATTGGCTAAACTGTTGATAGCCAGGAAAGCTGAAGACATCATCATAGTTCGACCATGTCTCCACAAGAGATATGATATGAAATCTGTTAATAAAGTACAATTATTAGTCATTTTTCTTTTCAATCCTTCAACATTCCAAATAACTATGTCAATAGCACCAGGGCTTTGTTTACAGCCTTGGCCACACGCCTAGCTCTCGATGTTTGTGTAGTTAGAACGAGGTGTCCATGGTAACGTTTTCACTGCATAGAGTCCATTTTTATTTGGATTCAATTTATACAGTTTATTGTCAATTTGAATTTTGTCAAAATGTAAGGTTGCATATTTACAATCTTCCCGTGCTTCGTCCTGGAATGGTTTTAACTTCCGTCTGATTTGTCGAATTCTCTCCGTGAAATCCTGCCAGATGTTTACATCCCGGTTCCGCAGTTTAGAAGTTGATCTCAGAATACGTGCCTTGGTTTGATAGTCTTTGAATGACACCAGTACCGGACGATTACCGCGGGACTCTGTAGACATGCGTCGAGCACTGTATATATCAACTGATTCCTCGATTCCAAGAACATCATGGATTACTTCACGCACTTTTTCTTCAGTGGTACCCGTGGCCTCGTTACGTTCGTCAAGAATATTGTGAAAGAGTTTTTATTTATTTCTTTTCGTAAGTCTTTTATTTCTCTGCACATATCTGACTGTAAATTTCTGATCAAGTCTGCAATATTTTCGTCTACCTTTTTCACGTTGTCCAGTGTGCTTTGACGTGTACACGGAGTTTTCGGTGGGCCCGGGGTTTTCTCTACATCGCCGCTGACCAACATTAGAAGTAACGAAGTAAAGAGACAGAGTTTCAATCCTATCCTCGCCCCTCCAAGCATGCATCGCACGTGCGCCATCTAGCGGGTATCTCGACAAGTCGCATGCTCGGAGAGCTCCGCAAATCTGTGAAATATTGCTGAGTGCGGGGTTTAACAACATAAATCAATAAATAAATATTTAAACGTCCAAAGTCAAATTTAAACAAACTGCGACAACAAAATGTTATATTTCCAAAATTGTACATGTATAACAGAAGCTTTTGGTTAATTTGTAACGTGTCTGTGACGAGACATAGAACATCACTCGTTTTCTGACATCATAATAAACATATATATTGGAAAGTACTTATTGATTTAAGCTTAAGGCAGTAATATGATTTTTAAATTTACAACGGTAAACATAGGCATTCATTTACACTCAAAAAAAGACACGCACAGGTAGATTTTTAGTTTATTGTACGTAATAAAGTCGATATATTTAATTTAATATCATAGATACAAATATGAAATTTTGGAGCTCGAAAGACACATGTTGTCGTTGTACAAAGGTATTTAAAACTGTTCATTTTGTCATGTCACATAAGACCACAAGTTTGCGCTAAACTTAGTATCTCATGTGACCGTCCCGGGCAGCAATCACGGCTCTGCATCTCCTCGACACTGACTGAAAAGGGTACGAATTCTGTGCTGCGAATCACGCGCCATTCTGCTCGTAACACGTTGGCCAGTTGTGGGAGTGTCTGCGGCGTGATCTGACGTTGACGACCACGTCGATCGAGTTAATCGTAGAGATGTTTGATTGGGTTGAGATCTGGAAATCTCGACGGCCAGGGCAAGTCGTTGATGTTGGCATTACGCTGGTAGTCTACCGTGACACGAGCTGTGTGCGGTGGAACGTTGTCCCATTGAAACAGCTCCCTCTGGCAGTCAATGATTGGAAGAAGGTGAGTTTGAAGAATTGAATTCCTGTAGCGATTTGCTGTCAACTTTCCCTGAACCACAACCAAGTCAGAACTTGTGGTGTAGGATATGGCCCCCCACACCATGACACTACTGCCACCGAAATTGTCGAATTCACGTACACAATTTGTGACAAAACGTTCATTTCGACGACGAAAAACACGTCGTCTTCCATCTGGCGGGTGAAGAAGAAATCGTGATTCATCACTAAACCACACTCATCTCGTGTTTCTCCAGTTCCAAGGCTGTAAGGTATGGCTGTCGATAACTGGTCATCTGGGACGGATTCCAGCCTCGCGAAGATCGTTCCTGACAGTCTGGTCAGATATCCTCCCCAAACCAGGGATGCGTCCTGCAGTCTCCGTAGCTGTGGCATTGCGATGACGTGAGTGGAACAATCGAATGTAGCTATCCTTTACAGGGGTGGGAACTCTTGCTCGGCCGGTTCCCGGACGGTCTGCTGTGTGTATCGGTCACAAAGGCGGCTGTGGTGGACATTGAAGTGGCGTGCAAGAGAAGACTGTGATTACCCTCTTTGGATACGTCCTGTGGCGATGTTCCGATCGGCAGCGCTGAGTGTTGGCATTTTCGAACTTGAAAAATGTTGACAAATGAATGATCTAGTATTTTATCGAAAAAAGGTATCCCCGAAGATTCTTGAAAATATTAATTATCTTTACAGACTGTTCAAACAAAAGAAACTGTTTGGCACAAATATTACATTGTTGCAAGGTGTTTTAAAAAACGAAATTTCAGGCTCACAGATTAAATTTAAAAAGAAATGTCTGGTTTTGCAGGTATAGCTGAAAAAATATTTAATCTCTCTATGTGTAGGTTGCGATGGGACGACACATAGCACAGCATTCACTTGTGTGGCATGCGAGTCAAATAGCAGACTACTTGAAGTGTGTTTGTGAAGTAAAATCGCTATATCAAGATCAAACATCAACAGTGGTTTGTTGTAGCCTTTATCGCTCAAAAACAAACTGTCGAGGTTTAGACATACGTGTGTATATAAGGACGCCACACAACCGACTTGGTTACAGATTTCTACCCCTGGTAGGCCTCATGTTAGCTAAACGCGCTGAGCTATCTGCGCTAACCAACAGTGGAACCAGTTTAGTACTTGAAAGAAGATCACGTGACCGTCAATCGTCAGGCGTGGGTATCTCATGTTTTAAATGTTTACAGCGTTGCCGCTGCTTCTCTGGTTGAAGACATGACAATGAATTATTTAGAGACTGAAATTAGTTGGGTACATATCAAATCATTGACTCGTGGCAGCCAATTGACAGTTTCTGTCATTGATCTTTCACGCAATATAGTCTTATGCCATTATGCTTGAAACATGTCCTTATATCCGGTCAGGTCATCAGGGCAAGTCTTTACTTGTTTGTAACTGTCGGGGCTATATATTGAGTTCTAATCCTGACCCGTGAAGATCTAGGGTAGAATAGGTCGTCAGCAACCCATGCATGCCTTAAAAGGCGACTATGCTTGTCGTAAGAGGAGACTAACCGGATCGGGTGGTCAGGCTTGCTGACTTAGTTGATGCATGTCATCGATCCCAATTACGTGGATCGATGCTCATGATGTCTGGTCCTGACTCGATTGTTTACAGACCGCCGTCATAGAGCTGGAATATTGCTGGGTGCGGCGTTAAACACCAAACCAACCAACAACCAACCAGCGAATCCTTATGATAACACTACAGAAGATGACACCTTGCAACAAGAATGTTCCGGAGGTGATTTTAATATTATTCTACCAGGTACCCATCTACTGCGGGGTGACTTTGGGGCTCAGTTTATCTTACCCACTTGCAAACCCTGGCGTAGGTACTGGTGGTAAAAGTCAACCAACGGTCTGAAGCCATGTCTATTGACATCAAGGTACTTGCCACAAGAAGTAGCATAATCTTGCTCCACTGCTGTCACAGCTCGCTCCAGACACCAGCTCCTGTATCGTACATGGCCAGAGTCAACAACCTGAGCACTTTACTAGAAGCAGTTCGAACCCAGAACCACCTAGCTGGGGAGGCTCCACGTTCCACCCGTGAGCAGATATGTCCACTTTTGGGTGTGGTGCTAGTGTTAATTAAAGCGACAAAACCCTTTCCATATTCATGAGAAATCCCTGTGAAAACCAGAGTCGATTGTACAATTCCCATTGTAATATGATCATGTGTTTATGAATCACTGCTACTTAAGGATTGACTGGGTAGGTTTTTCGGTTCTCTGAGGTACCTCCGTTTTTCAATTCATACCTCAATGAACCGAAAATCATACACAGTCAGTCCTTATAATTAAATTCGACAACGAAAACATAATTTTTACAATATTTTATATAAAAAAGTTGTATATATCAAAGCAGACAAATAATGACGACATTTAATAACATTCTAGGTGTAGGAATACATACTGTGGCGTGACATGAATCAGGTGAGTGTTTAATGTATATACATAACTTGACACACCTACAAAGTCAGTAGCCAATCAACGGAGAGTATGGTCAAAACAAAGTTTATAGGACCTGTCAATCAAGGCAAGAGGCGAGACTGTCCGGGAGAAGGCGGCTGTTTCAAATGACAGGGTCAGTTACCACCAGATTCAAACATTTGTTCCCTGAGAACGGGAAAACAGTTTGAAAAATGCGGGTTAGAAATGAAACATGAAGGGTAGTTTGGACATTGAATATGCACGAATTTCGAAACATGTCCTCCGCATGACAATTCACGTGAGCAGAAAGGGAATTCCCTCGACTGTATTGTTGGGATTCCACGACATTCCGAAGTGATAACAGTAGTCCGCTTCAGTGGGCGAGGCTTAATTTTTTTTCATTCATTAGGATTAGAATGCAATAACACGGGACCAATTCAGCTAATTAGAATGCAGGTATTGCAATGAACATAGCGAAAAGTTAATAACATATTTAATGTATACAATGATGATACAAGGTGTTCGCGAAAAGGTGAGCGTAGCCTGCCCCAGCTATGGAACCCGTCACAAACACATGCACAGGCAAGAAAATTGTTTATCTGAAAAAAGAAAGAACACAGGAACATACTGTACAAGTCAAAAAAAGAAAAACGTCATGTCTGTCACTGATGCATGAAATTTTGAAATGACCTCTACATTTCTACCATAAAACTTGTTGAAAACTGAGGGGAGCCACTGCCCAGGCCTTTGAGGGCTGAGAATACATCGCACAAACGGTATGTCAAAATTCATACAAAGTTCGTGCACAGAGTGGAGCCTATTGACTTATTTCAACTTGTGCAAATGGCTGGTGCTAGCCTTGGGGCAGGACATGCTTCCTTTTTCGCGAACACCTGCTGTCCTCGCTGATTTTCAGTGGTCCATTTTTGCCCTGTGCGCCAATGGAATCTTTTCGGTGGGTAATGAAGAATGATTATTCTCTTGCTTTGACATTATATGTACAATAATAAACAAACTCCTGACGCTAGTTGACTAAATATAGACAAAGGTCACTACGACACTGCAAAAGTCGTATGTGTTCACGGGCAATAGGGGAAAGTAGAATGAGATACACTGATCTGTCGACCATGGTGACTAAGTGTATATCCGTGACACTAATGTTACAAACCTTTCCGTTGTTCTCCCGCATGCGGCAGGGGGCGATAGAAATGATTGAGTGAATGTTGTTTGACGCCATATCACAACATTCAGTAAATAGGTCTTTGAAAGGCATTTAGAAGTGAGATACACATAAGGAAGAGAATATATGGATGTCAACGTCTGTATTATGAGGAACACAACGTTTCGGAGTATATGTTTACATATATGACATCCATATATTCTCTTCCTTATTCTGTACAGAGTCAAGTCTGAGCCAGAGACCAAGGCGACACACATTTACCAGGTTCTACGTATGATCACCCGATCCAGATCGGTTGTCTTGGTAATTATGAGGTTCTGGTTTTCCATCGTTTGGGTTGATTACCGGGACACGAAATACAAATATGCATAATGTTATAAAATATAAACTTTACCATGTTAACCAAAGAAACAGCACCTCGGATACAAAAGTATTGATTTGCAAATATGTACATGTTAAGATTTAACCTAACATCAAATACTGCGAGATTGTTATTTGAAGAATGCATGGTCGTAATGGCTTGCATCAACTTCTTGTGACGCCTTCCCGGTCACACGCGTGTGATCATACACGTCATCCCCTGTGTCCGCTCCTGATTGGCTGAATATCGCGCGAGCATATGTGTTGTCAAAGGTGATTGGTTGTTTCTTCTCTGTGATTGTTGCTGTGTCATATGTTTGGTCATTGACGCCTTGCTTCATGGGACGAGCGCCATCATCCACGGATGCGTAATGGTAGCCTGACTCAGTGTTACAGTCATGCACTTGTGATGGTTGTTTCGTCTTTATTTTCCTGACAACAGCGTACTCAACCTCTGGTTTTGTCCTTACATCCGCTACTGTACCAGATTCAGTGTCGTCACCAGCAATCGTGTCATTGGTCCTGACACGCAGTCTTTTCTGTTTGTTTCTGAAACAAGTTGGGAGTAAAGGTTTATGATATCCCTGTACAATGTACTGATGGTGCCTGTTAGTTACACAAACTCTGTAAATTACAGTTAAAAAACTCTTTGAATAAGAACATTGACATCGAAACAAGCCAGGCGTCAGGTTTATGGCCGGAAGCCTTATTTCTACTTTCATCCATCTGGAGGTGGAGTCTTCACTGCCTATATATAACCAATTGTACAGGCTGCATGTTCTCAGGTCAACGTCAACGCCCGGACTTCTTCCTGTGAACGTACATTCGTTTGTCAACCAGGTGTGGTGGCTTCCACTTATCTGATGTTGACATTTCATGTCACAAGTAAGCATTCCCCTTATATTATATCCATTCTACATCTATATCTACTATATTACTTATTTACCAATCAAGTAGTGTAACCCAAGTTAACACCATACTTATTGCTATTATTCATTTATCACACAGCTGGAAATATATATATCGAGCATTCTACTTGCCTCTGACAATATATATATTGTCAGAGGCAAGTAGAATGCTCAATATACTTATATTCACTTTGGAATATTTTGAACGAAATATTTTCTGACAAATATTATTGAACTCTCCCTAATATGTTTCCATCACAAAATGTGTTCATTTACACATAAATTGGTTTCATTCTGATTTTACACCGCACCCAGCAATATTCCAGCTATGTGACAGCGGTCTGTAAATAATCGAGTCTGGACCAGACAATCTAGTGATTGACATCATGAGCATCGATCGACGCAATTTGGATACAATGATGTGCAATCAGCTTGGTCTAACAAACCTAACCTTTAATAAGAAAGCCTAGGTTGTTTGGATATATGTTCTTTTGCCGAATGGACATAGGCAGGTATTTCGTTCACGAAAAATTACAATACTCCACATGTATTTCCTTCACGAACAACTACAATATTTCAGTTGGTATTCCCTTTACGAACAATTACAATACTTCACGTGTATTTCCTTCACGAACAATAACAATATTTCAGTTGGTATTCCCTTTACGAGCAATTACAATACTCCACTTGTATTTCCTTCACGAACAATTACAATACTTCACGTGTATTTCCTTCAGTTGGTATAACCTTAACGAATAACTACAAACTTCAGTAGTTGTTACCTTTGACAGAGAACAATTACAACCCCAGCTAAGACCACAACTGCTCCCCCTGCAGCTCCGGACGAGACGGCAATAACGACTGAAACACAACAGAAGTTGTTGAAAGTGTCATTGTACTTCACTTCCTTGAACAATAATGCAGATCGGTAGTTGTAAATAAAAGCGACTTAACCCATTCAATCATCATAATAAATCACTTTGATCACATCGCATCGACACAAAGGAATTAGTATTTAAAATCTTTAAGAGACATTTAGAAGCTTTAGTAGCACTGACGACATTGATGACTGTGGACCAGTATTTTTGTCAACCACATGCTAGATAATGTTCCAGGATCCGTACTGAAAAAACTGTATAAACAGTATTTTGGTTTGGTTTGGTTTGTTGTTTAACGCCGCATTCAGCAATATTCCAGCTATATGACGGCGGTCTGTAAAAAATCGAGTCTGGACCAGACAATCCAGTGATTAATATCATGAGCATCGATCCACGCAATTGGGATCGATGACATGCATCAACCAAGTCAGCGAGCCTGACCACCCGATCCCGTTAGTCGCCTCTTACGGCAAGCATGGGGTATAAACAGTAACAGAATGTGATATCGATATGGCAATTCAGTCCTCGTGAACAGCTTACGAGGAACAAAAGAGAATCCTTGCCTGGCATTGGTGTTGTTGGCATGACAGTTGGTTTTGTAGAGATCATGGCAATAGTGTCCGATGACATCATTGACGTTGATGATTCTAGTGTTGAAAGGGTTGTAGTTTCTATACTTGAAGACTTGACTGACGTCGTTGTTCTTGTTGTTGTTGATTGTGTTCTTGCTGTCGTGGATTGTGTTGCTGCTGTGAATCGTCTTGTTGCTGCTGTGAAAGGTTGTGAATCAGCTGGAGTTGTAGTTGGTGTCATTGTAGATGTGCTTGTACGCCGAGATGTCGTTGTTGTTCTCTCAGTTAGGGAAGAACCTGGTGTAAAGCCAAACAGAATGGTTGGTGTTGTGATAGGTTGCATCTTGCATGATACGGTGACAATGGCACAGTGTTATCCGGCTTCTGTGTATATCTCCAGAAAGTCACGACCATTTGAGCTGAGGCCATCCATATATGAAAAAGTAGCAATTATTGAACAAGTAATCTTAAAATATGTTTCAAATGGCGTGTCAAATCAATGTTTCCATCTGTTGACTCATCAATTAACAAGTTATCTAGATGGTTATTTTAAGACGTAATCGGCATTGTAGCGTGGTAAAATGTACACTGGTACATACAAATATTAAATGTGACGGGATACGATATTAACACACAAGTAGATTTTAGAATAAGTATTTAGATTATGAAGCAAGGTGACAATGCCGAGGTGATATGGGGTTCATACTTGCAGCGTGGCATATGCTGAATAATCTTGTAGCACAGATCATAAGGTGCCATGTTCCATATGCATGGATGGATGTGTTTCCCGGGGGTATTGTTATAACACAGTCTCCTGGTGACTGGTCTCCTACTGCCAGTGTTTTGAAGTAACCTTGAAACCCTAGTCTTTTCCCTGAAGAAAGTTGTTGTTTGACGTTTAATGAATCAGACTTCCAACCACAACTCGGGCAACTGTTGCCAATAAATCTACTTTAGAAAACATATCATAGCATTGTAATGACAATATACTGATTGAGTGACATCCAAATCTTTAACCACGTGTAAGAGAGTAATTCAAAATACATTGTGGTTGTACATGTGTTCATTTCGTTATGACTTATGTGTATCGCCAAATATACCAAATAACTATTCTTTCTTTGCATACCTGATACCGTTGTGTATTTCCCATTTCGCCAACGCAGACCTATCCATGACCCTGTAGAGACACCAGCTGTACGTGAGACATTGTCAACATGCTGCTGTGTTTCCACGTCTTCTATCACAACAAGAGACCATCCATCACCCAGGCCATTGCAGAAGGTTTGCGACTCCTCCCACGTTCTCTCCTCTCGAGACAATAAGAAACAGCTATCGTCCTTGAAAACTGTTGTTACCGTATCAGGATTTGAGAATTGCTTGCACGACATCGCCCTGTCTGTGAAAAACATGGTATTTTGTATGTACAATATAACAACTTCTAAATATCGTTATTTAATGTTTGTTTGTTTATTTGTTGTTTAACGCCGCACTCAGCAATATTCCAGCTATATGACGACGGTCTGTAAATAACTGTAAACTGACTCCGAGCCGACCAGTCCTTGATTTAGCCCCTAAATGCCGAGCGCCAGACAGGGTAACAACAAGTACAATTTTTTAACGTCTATTGGTATGACGCGGCCGGGGATCGAACCCCGGACCTTCCGCTCTCTGGCGGTTTTCCACGAGTTGAATGACCGCCACACCAAAAGCAGTCGTAAAATCAAATTACTCACATGAGCGAAAGAAACACTGGGCTAAGATAGAAATATATGAGTATTTGATTTTGACCATGGTATATATTATGATAGAATGGAGCAATAAATCACTGGACAGTATGGGGTGTTCACCATTTTGAGTCAACACATTCCATTGAATGGGATTCATGAACGATTTGACCTCAAACAACAGAAAGCAGTACTTCTAACTGACTTCTTCACTTTTTCAGATCATCATGCAGTATTATATTGTATTGTATTGTTTGTTGTTTAACGCCGTACTCAGCAATATTCAAGCTATATGATGGCGGTCTGTAAATAATCGAGTCTGAGCCAGACAATCCAGTGATTGACATCATACGCAATTGGGATACGATGACATGCATCAACCAAGTCAGCGAGTCTGACCAACCGATCCCGTTAGTCGCCTCTTACGGCAAGCATAATCACCTCTTACGGCAAGCATGGGTTGCTGAAGACCAATCCTACTCCGGATCTTCACGGGTCCGTTTTCGATGAGGAAGTGGAAGGGTGCGCCTTTTTGAAAAATATTTCGGTTATATCATGGCGTGTCAGAAAGTGTTTAGAAAGTCTAAAATGAAGCAGTTCGTCCTCTCGTGTAAGGATATTGAGCTGACAAACCTAGAATCATAATGGACGAAAATTGGATTCGAACCCAGAATCTTCACATCCTGATATGGCTATGGGGCGAAAGTGTGCATATGTCATTGTCATATAGAGCATTTTGCTATCGATAGCCCTACACAGGATACATTGTGCTTACCAAAATTCCAAAATTTTAACTTGATTTAGCGTTATAGACATTCTAAAATTATAGAATTTCTGAAGATCTTTTGTGTTCCATTTATAAAATTATTATTTTTATAAGTTATGGTGAAATGTCTGGTTGGTTTCCTGTGCTTTTGGACACCTGGTATTATAACTATTTGATACTGATTAATAAACACATGCTCATGATTGATAAAGTCATGATATAATTTTTGGCAGAGATTTCTTTGAAAATGTTTTTTGTCGCTTATTTTTTATAAATTCAATGCTGAAGGTCATTGTCTTTTCATTTAAAGATACTTGTAGTTGAAAGCTATACTTTTTGCTTGACAGCAGACATTCAAAGTTATTAGTAGATATACATGAAAATGACCAGTCGGGTAGATATTTCATTCTTATTTTGTTATATACAGGGAATATACTGGTTACAGACGGGGCAAATTCTTAATGACTTTTCAATATTGAAACATCTTCCTCTATTCACCTATAAATCATTCAGACCAAGTCTAAAGCGTATCAATGCATTGCGGAGGTGTTTGAATCTTACATCTGCGTATCTCGATCTTCCTGAAAGTGTAGAATGCCAATCCTGTCGAAATATATCTATAGCACGAGTACGAAATTGTAAAAACATATTTATGTTCCCAATGGATTGCGAGTGAACCACGTGACCACAGTGAGAGTGAGTGAGTGTTCATTCATGCAGCTGCTAGGAATATTCCAGCAATATCACGGCGCTAGACATCACAAATGCACATCCATGTGGGTGTTCGAATCCGGGCCTTCGACTTGACAAGCTAACGCTTAGACACTAGGCTACATCGCCGCCCCTCATGATCATATGCCTTTCTCTGCATTAATTTAAAAGCTTTCGCTGAAAGCGACACGGTTGCAGGAAATAATTGCTTTAATCATCTGGGCAAATATATTTCTCACTTCCTGCCGTGACTAGCTGACGAGCGGCTTGAAAAGTAAACACTGCATTAGTTCACGATCTTGGAAATGATGACACGGCGAGTTTACTGTTCATGCATGTTTTGTGTTCGTCACTGTCAAATGTTATAATTAAAACATGTCCTGTCGAAATCATATCCCAATTCTTTCTTGTTTACCATTGTTTACTTTTGAATTGTTGTCATTAATCTATGATTATTTATTTGTAATTAACACCAGTCTTGATTTAACAATAAGAATCATTGCACCGAGTGAGTAGGGTTTTACGCCGCTTTTAGCAATTTTCCAGTAATATCAAGGCGGGGACACCAGAAATGGGCTTCACACATTGTGCTCATGCTGGGAATCGAACCCGGGTCTTCAGCGTGACGAGCGAACGCTTTAACCACTAGGCTACCCCACCGCCCCAGAATCATTGCAGAGCTGCCTGGTTGGTGAATGACGTCATGCTACATTCTCATGACGTAATAGTGACGTCGAGTGTATTTTGTATGCGACCAGTTTCAATCGACATTTCCCGCAACGTTAGAATAAACCCGAAAACCTACACACACATACAATCCAAGATCTGATCATTCTCATAATCAAGGTAAATTGAGTGACCCAGCCACATGTAATCAACATGTCAACACCCCACTGGAATTATCAACGCTTTGACATCATGATTTGTGTTATGTATGATACATCCTTACCGGCTGCAGATCCGTCCATCCAAAGGAATATCCAGATGGAGTATAATGCAGAATGTTGAATATACACGGGTATCAGGAGCCTTGCCACAGACATGTTTCCCCCTCAACCCTTCTACAGCCAGTGTCCTACCAGGAAGTGTAATTCGATGACAGTGGGCATTGGGAGCAACAGCTCGACTATTTCTGAATCATCAGTGTCACTTCGTTGTTCCGTTTTTAGTTTCCTCACATTTCCATTGTCTGACGCCAGTATAAATAATAACAATACAAGTGACATTTCATATGTTTTCGCTATTTACTTTCGATGTCGTAAACGTCCGAGACCTGCATCACTTCGGGCTTTCCTGCAACATTAAGCTGACACGCCGTGATATAACTAGAATACTGTTAAAAGCGGCGTTAAAACCAACTCACTCACTCTGAATCCAAAAGGTGACCCCGACCTCAACCGACACCACCCCATCCACCCCCACCCCCACCCTCACTCCCACTCCCACTCCCACTCCCACTCCCACCCCCCAAAACACCCCATCCTCGCCCCTTTCCCGACTCCCATCCTCTCTCCCAACCTAACTCCGACCCTTACCCTCAACCCTTCTCCCACTTCCACTCCCTACCCCAAAAACACCCCCACCTACACTCCAACCCCCAACACCTATCCAACCTCAACTCCTACTTCCAGCCCCAACTCCCCGCCCTCACCCCCACCCTCACTCCTACCCCCACCCCACTATAGTTACATTCAGAATGTGGCCCTCCGTGACGAGATATGAGTTCCGCGTTCGTTCATAGGTGAATGCAGTGAATGGTAGTTTATTGTAATGATTTTAAATACTAATTTAACAAACTGGTTTAATTTAGATTAATACCAACACAATCATTCACTTTGTTTTTCTAAGCCAAATCTTATGTATTGTCTTTGCTCAGGATCAGCTATATATGTGCTATGCACTACATAACACAGAAGAAATAAATTCAAAATACATCCCTTGATTCGGACTTATTTCATGGAAAGTTACATTTACAAAATACTCAGAGTGAAACTTCACAGGTGCTGTCATGCTCGCTTCTCCGCTTCCACTTTACAGGAAATGAAAACAGCTGACGAGGAATAAAGTTGTCCGTGCTTGAGTAACATTGTCGTCAACTATTTCAAAATCGTAAACAAATCAAGCAGTTGAACAATGATTAGGTGAGTGAGTGAGTTGGGTTTTATTATTAATTGTTAACAGTATTTCGGTTGTATCGTAGTTTATCATCAAGAGATGCAAAGATATCCACCTACTGGCACCTGACATAACAACAATAATAATATATTTTCACTTTGGGATTCGGCACCACAATCAGCAGATCACGGCATCACCAGGGGACGTCACTCTACACGAAGAAGGGGCCTCCACCAACCCACTTTACCCTGACTGACGTCTGACCGAAATAGGAGGCAAGCACGGAGGGTCCGAATGTCATTGTCAGAATGTAGTAATTTGTAGATGAAGTAACTCTTCTATGTATGGTATAAGTGTTGGGTGAATAAATACTCCAAGGCATAAAATACCGTAACAATATCACATACGTTATCACATGGAAAGACAGG